ACATTGATGACATTGGCTGACTTTGTACATTTCTGTTCTGCTGATGCATAGATCCAATGAAGGTTTGGTTTCCCTTTTGAGAACGAGACCTTCTGTCCCATTGAGATTACCTGCCTAAACAAAGGTGGAATCAAATTAAAAAAAATAAACATTTATTGTTATCAGTACATTATGTCAACATCAATGTTTAGACATTATTATAATTGGAATAAACAAAAAAGACCATCCATTTTCTGTGAAATCCGATCAATTGTCTCAGTTTAATAACTGCACCCGCTAACTTGCTAACTGATTAAAGGACCAGTGTGTAGGATTTAGTGGCATCTAGCAGTTGCCACTAAGTTGCAGACTGCAACTAACTGAACACAGCTTGTGTCTGTATTTGACGACCTCGGAATAAAGAACGGGCTATAAAGTGTGTAGGAGAAACTACGGTGGCTGCAAAACTCATGACAAAAGCAGTTTTTCTATAGCAGTATAGCAGAGATGAAGAAGAGTTAAATCTGGAAACTATGGAATCTTAAATTTTCTGCCTTGCCTCATAAAATTCAGTTAAAACGAGTATAATGTCTCACAAAACAGATAAGATTAATCCCAGCCATTAAAAAAAGATAACAGTAGGCTAAATGAAAAAGGTATGACAAGAAATAGGGAATCGTTCTGGCACTAAAATATACCAGGGAAAGGAAAGAGTGTGGTAGAACGGCTAAATGATGTACATTTGCCTTTAAATAGACAAGGTCCTGCAAATCCCCAACAGTGTTTCCAAGTTTATTATTAAGACAGGATCGCCAAGCTCTGTGAAGAAGTGATCAGCACCACTTTGGAAAAAGAGAGAAGAAATTGAAATTGTCACAATTTTATACTGAATTTGGGAACAGGCAAAAGCTATTGTAACGATATGCATTGCATAGTAATGACATAATGTGAGTAACGCTATTGCAAGTAACAAGTAACTACAGCAGAGGGTGGCATCAGGGGGAGTAACATTAATGTTAGAAGAAAATATTAGGAGAAAAATTGTGTGTTTGTTCATTCATTTAGTCTATATACAAGTCTCGTCAATTGAGCCTTAATTTTGCCGGGTAATATTGTGCTCAGTGGCAGACAGAATTGAGGCTTATAGGGAACCAATCTAAATGCATATGGTGTCAATATTCTATAGCTATTACACACTGCAATCAACATTTACTTGACAAAAAGAAAGAAAGTTAAAGCAAAAACGTTGTTTATTTCCTCTTTAAGCAAAAGCTAAAAGACCATGCTTAACATACATGTTTTACAGTGGATAACATGCTTTGTTAGGCAAAACATGAAGTGGAGCACTTAATTACATTTTATTTTATCAAGCGGTCGATTTAATGAACAAAGTGTGTTTGAAGTAGCAGACTGATTGCTAATTTTCAGATGTTGCATTTATGAATTATACAGTAATTAAACAACCAATTGTGCATTATCAAGGTATTTTGGAACTATTGGTTTATAGGTTGACTGGAACGCATGTGTCAAAGCTCATAAGGTAAAAGATTTTCTCTAAGACTGATATGATCTAGTCTGTCACTTTGAAATTCAGACTTTTCTACAACTATAGCTTGCATGAAGAGCTGTCACCGCAGTGAGAGAACATGCTTTGAAATTTCTGTCAGGCTGATTAATGGAGGAGAGCATCGAGAATTGGAAAGAGTATTGCTGCATCTTTGTACTTTTTCACACAATTTTCTCGCCACACCTCTGCGTACCTTAAATGCCATCAGAATATATTCCAGCCCCATAAGGTCACATCATAACGCCCTATTTGAACACATGATTGAGACATATGGTCTCCCACAGGACTTCTTTCGTTTTTTGCAGACGAGGCATTATATGTTGCAACTTTAACTGACATCGCTGAAAGATCTCCTGTTGAAACAGCTGAAAAGATGTCTGTCAGTTTATTCTATGAGGCTATGCATTTGGCACCCTCCGGTTACTTTATAGGGCTTCAGGGCACATGGGAGAAGTAGCTATCTGTCACAATCGATAATGAAGAGCGAAAAGATATCTAGAGACATAATAAATCAATTTCTGTCTGGATCTGAACCAAAGCAATACACAGAATAATACACAGAATGCATACATCCCCCAACCGTAGACATCACCCATGTGCCGTAAATGCAAGACAGAAATTGGTGCTCTAACTCAATGTCTTTGGTCATGTCATAAGCATCTATTTGAAATAGACAAATATTGGGTTTGGAACTGGAAATGGACCCAGTGTCCCTCCTGAGCAGATATATAACATCAAGAGAGTGCTGTTTGATTTAGTGCTATTAGAGTACCTTACAGCTATATTACATTCAAACATAGACCAATTCTATAACATTTGGGAGCCGTAACTGAACTAGCACAGCAGACCTTGGTGTGTCTGCCATCATGCAGTTTTTGGTTTGTTTGTTTTTGTGGTTTAGTCTTTTGTACTTTTTTTTCTTTCTCCTGTGGATTTCATAATGTATTCATCTTCTACTTATTTAAATATATATATATATATATAATATATTGTCAAAAGCAGAACATAATGTAGAGTAAATTGGGCTTAAAATAAAAAGAAACTACAAATGTACTATACAGGATTATTCTTATAATTACATACTATATACTGTATAACAATCAAGGTAAGGGTATGGGAAATCTTTTAAGGTCCAGTGTGTAACATTTAGGAGGATCTGTTGACAGAAATGGAACATAATATTCATAGGTATTTTCATCAGTGTATAATCACCTGAATATAAGAATTGTTTTGTTTTTGGTACCTTAGAATGAGCCGTTTTTATCTATAGATGGAGTCCGCCATGTTGAACTGCCATGATTCTACAGTAGCCCAGAAGGGACAAACCAAACTGGCTCTAGATAGGGGCATTTACGAAGCAAGGGAGTTATGATCTGCAACTACACCACTACATCCCACTAAATCCTGCACACACTGGTTCTTACTGTCTTTATATAAACTTTATATGAACTAATCCTGCTTAAGGCCCATGTATTGCCATCAGGGAGCTTTGTTCACATCAGCTTTACATTTGATGTCATGTTTACAGCCTCCCTGATTGATCTGATTGACATGGAGCTGCCTTGTCAACTTTGATGTGCGTCAAATGGCGTAGACCTGTATTTACTTTTGTCTGACCTCCTCTGGAGCTCAGAGATCAAAATAAAACCAGTTCAAAAGCTGCGTTTTGATCTGATATGAAGCTCTATAGCTCAACTGTCACATGTTCTCCCATGAGCTTTCAACATGTCAGACTCTCCTTGTCATCGCCAGGACCAGACAGATCATTTGTCATCATTTCAACATTAAGTACAATGGAAACTACAAACTTGCTAGAAAAGTAAATGAGCTAAAATGTTAAGGTAGAAAATGAAAAACACATAGTATGAGCAACAGTACAGTAGACGCAAGGGTCAGCTTGATTCTCATGCTTTGGGAAAAAGTGTCAGAAAACAAAAGAAATTGGATATCACTAACTGAAATGAACAGACATACTCTAAGTGCACCCCTATCTAGTTCCTGCTCCAGTGCAGTGCTTGAAAAAGTGATTATGTTTAGATGAATAACTGACTTCAGGACAGACAAGCAGGAGAGTAAAACACGTCATACTCACAGCGTAATTCCTTACATATCCCAGCTTTGGTACAAGAGAGAAAGGAGATTGTTTAACTACAGTCATTGAGGGGAAAATGAGAACACAATAACAACTTTGATGTTTGCTGTCTTGCGTTTTATGCACCACGTTGACCAAGTCACTTTGGAGTTGATTGCCTGAAGGTGTTTTTGTAGTAAAAACTATGATTTATTAAAGGTTTATGGTTTAATGTATTATGCATTTTGTGTTCAAGCCAAACCTGAAAAAGTAATGAGAGGGTTTTAAAGTTGACATTTTTAAACAGGATTTTTAGTTCAAATGGCCCTTTGATGTCTTGAGTCAGAATTAAGTGTAATAATTGCTGAAGCTACAACCGATAAAGCTCCTGCTCACGGTATAAATACTATCAAAATGTCATGAAAACTTAATTTAGCTCTGTCAGAAGCAGAATATACTGCATGTTTATGAAGGGCTTACCAGATGATGTAACATTTTCTGGCAGTCATATTAGAGCTCTCTGCTCTTAGAAATAATAACGATACAGTAATTGCAGATATGAACTTTTATATCGCACTGACTATACATAATTTATGTTTTACACACAAAAAAAGAACATGGCAAAGAAAGAAAGTTTTGTGTGTAAATAATGTTAGCATCTTTGCTAATACACCATCATGTTAGCTAACCGTAAGTCTTATAAATCTTGTTTACCCATTAGCTATTAGGTTAGGTATTAGCTAGGTTTTACATCATGGTAGTTGTATGTTAGTTTCAGTTGTTTTGTACAAATGACAAAAACGTATTTCTTCTCCCTGAAATGAACTGAGATAACCTCAAGCTATAATGTTAGTTAAACCTGAGTATAGCAGTGCTAAAGATAGGAGTTTACAAAGTAGGCTATGCTAAATTTGGAAATAATGTAACTATTAGTGGTCGTGGGAAATTTTGTTAAGTATAATGTTTCAAAAACGTCAATTGTTTCTCCTCCAAAAAGATTACATGAAGAAGCTAGCTGACTAAAGATAGGAAATAGTTCTTACGCTAAAATGCCAAAGAGAAAAGTGTCAGGGTGGTAGAATGCTAATTATATACCTTGCGTTAAACTCTCATGATCATATATGCATTTATTCACCATGAGTACAGCTTAACCAAACTGTTACCAGAGTTATTTTGTTTACTATTTTTAACTGTTTAATTGTTCACCACATGGTAACATTTTGTAATACTTGTCTTATGAACTTTCAATTGTATATTCTCTTCTGGAACTCACTGATGGTGGTCACATGAAGTTGCCAGGAGATTTGTGACATACTGTATCTGCAAAGTCTCTAAAAGGTGTTATATAAAAGTGTCCAGCTGTTGATAAGGAAGGAGTTGTACCTTATTTCTCTTAAAATAGGCTCTGCGGCAGGCGGCGAAGCACTTCTCACTGCAGAAGCTCTTCAGCTCACTCCCCATGCTCAGAGAATAGCGTTTGACACCAACCTTCTGGCACCAGGCGCACATGATCTGCACATTGGATGCATCTTCATCTAGATAGAAACAAACAAAAGTGAAAGCGAGTTAGGATGCCCAAGTTCAGTGGGTAATTTAATAAGGACAAACAACATATTCTTTACTACATTATCTCAGTTGAAACCTCAGATCCTTATCCCGGACATTCAGTCCAAGTACCATAAAAAAATAAAAAAATGACAAAATATTGTTATTTGCTTTGCTATGGTTTCACATAATCACTTACAGCTGGAAATGGCTAGATGTGTTATTTAAAGTCCCCCTAAAAATTATGATTTTTTACGTAAAAAATATTATCAGACACACATTATTGCTCCAAGCAGACTATTTGTATATGTCATAATACATGTCTGGAGGGGATCTTTAACACTCATAATGTCTTACATTGTACATAGTACATTATAACAAATACTGACTTCATGGTACAACTATTTCATTTTGTAAGTCTGATTCTGATTAGAAAATATCCTTAAGCAAGAGTGACATCTATTATGTTTTAAGTGTCGGAGAATATCAACAAGCATGCAACAACTAGATGTTTTAAACACAAGGACCAAAAGGCATTAAGTGCGCTGATTCGGCCCAGCTGCTGGGCTGGTTAAATCCGCTCAAGATTCAAGCCACAAAACCACTGTAGGACTTATAATGAAGCCCTGCCATGGGTAAATGCAGCAGAACCGGATGAGCCAGGGACATGGGAGGATGCCTATTTGCGGCTGTGCTCTGTGGGTATTAGAGAACCTGAAGTGGACACTAGGATGTACTTTGATGCTGGGTGTTCACACAGGAGACTCTAACAGAAGGTGTAGTCTCCCTGCGGATGTGCATCCTGTGTGAGTGTATTTACTGCACCACGGTCACAGAGAATTCTAAAATAATTGTCATAGTTTGTCTGAGCCGTCCCCTTTTGTGTAAGATGGGTGATGGGTTTTCACAGAGCAATCCATCTAAACGAACAGTTGAGAGAGTTCAAGAAGGTATTTGTGAGACAGTGTAGGCTACTTTACACAACTCTGACCTGATCTGACCTGATCTGAAGAAAGCCCACCCATCCATCTACCACTGCACACCAATACTTGTATGAGACCACTTTAATTTAGTTTTTTGTTTCTTCCTTTTTTCTTCCTAAATTATTCATAATGAGGGCAATTTGAGGGCAGGGAGAAGGGGAAAAAAGCCAAAAAAATTAAAAAACATGAGGAAAAGAACCAGAAATAAACTAATACATATACAACTATCCCCAGTGGCCCACAAGGACAGACAAACAAATATTTACATCATAGACGAGACAGAACATAAAATGGAGTTCACATAAAATACTGAGTCCTAGTCATGTAGTGAAGGTTAGGGTTAAGGGATGTTAATTATACAATGAATTTCAAGGTGACTGTAGACAGTGAACTGGCTCAAGTATAGAAAGTAAGTAAATATTAAATACGGTGATAATTAGTAGGTTTTATTTAATCAATTCCAATATGAAAGTACTGAGTTTAAAAGTATATATGTAACTAATTATATAAAAAAAAAAGTAGAAAAGAAGAAGGACACAGTTTTTGCAGCAGGGCCCGGACAGTTATGTATAAGTATTCTGCTATATGAGATTTATATGTATAAGTGTTAAAGTATATTTCTCAGTTAATGCTTCCTTGTAGAAAATTCATGACCTGTGTGGGAGGGTGGCCTTAAGTTCTCCTTAAAAAGAGAAAGAGAATGCATTGTAAAGAATAATTGTTGTTTTACAGGTCAAAAAGACTATACCCAGATCTCTTCTGTCTCCAAAGATCTATGATTAGCCCTAACAAAGTTCTGAGTAAATCTAGAGTTGACCTCAGCACATCCCCCTGGTCAGTGTGGGCAACAAATTATTTTAACAGACCCTCTGTGACAGCGAAATGCCTCTTCTGTGGCGAACTGCGACTGCTAGTGAGGAGCTGGGGGCTTTTAGTGCTGCCGCTGTTGCAATGAGACAGATCCTCGGAGATTCCCTCCAGTATCTCCCAATTATCACATTATGACTACGCGGGTGTGAGGGCGAAAAAAAGCAGGCCCATTAGTCTTTCACCCCCGCTCACCTCCTTATCGCACGCCGGCCAGGCTTTTCACCTCTTGTTGCGCTTAATGGATCTACAGGGCCATCAGATTTTAAGTACAAACTAACTCACAATTAAGGAAATAACTCCCTGGGGTCCTAAACATAGCACAGTCGACCTAACATGCATATTTTATGTCTTTCCCATCCTCTATCTCGTTCCTATAGTCTCTCTTTTTTTGAGTCTATCTGGACTGCTGCCCACTGCAGTGATAACAAAAAAACAAGGTATAGTTTTATTCTGAGATGACTGGGTGGGTGGATCAGGGTTTGTGCATTTCTTGGAATAATATATGTACCACAGCAGCGTAATGAACGGGATCGAAGGCCAACATGAAATCACAACATCTTTCCCAATGTCTCAAGATTTTCATACAGAGACATCTTGAGGTGGAGTTGTTTTTGCCTTCCAACATCCTGGCACCTCGTAACAAGCCCATCTCAAAACACTCACATCTGCATGAGGGGGGAAAAAAACCTGTCAGTAATTATGCAGCCTCCATAGTAAATGCCACCATCATCCGCCGTACCTGCACCTCAAAAGGTCCTTTGTCGGATTTTGCGGGGCACATGAATAATTCAGCATATGTGTGAGGGTGGGGGTGGGGGGGCTAGTTGAAGGGGGTGTCGGCCGGGTGGTGGGTTGGTGCTGGGCTTTAAGTGGGACCACACCATCTGTTTCCCCGCCTAGGCAGGGCCAGCGGGGACTCCTCTTGGGCGATGCCAAGGCGGCTCGCTAGCTCCGCCGGGGCGTACCAACCTCCTGTGCCGCAGCAGACGTAAGGGATAATGAAGCCCTCTGTCTGGCCAAGGAACGCGGACATTTCCTCAGAGAGTTGATGGGGTTATATTGACACTTGGGCAGGTGGAGGAAAACACGGTGTACAGCAGGTAGCTAGCTCATTAGTTGCCTGTCCCTGCATGGTTTGGAGGCTTTCAGGCCATTGCAAAGACAGAAAGTTTTCATGTTGCATAAACATTCAGTTTCTTGCAAAGTGCTGGAGAATCAGCAAGTAGGCTTATACTTTCAATACAGTGTAATCTGTCTGGAGAAGAGCTGTGGATGAAATCTATGCCAGTTCTTCTAGTTGGGTGTGGTTTGACTAGAGAAATAACCGTGTGTGCGTTTGTGGTTGGGCGAATACATCAGCAATCTGCGACAGGCTGAAAATGACCTTGATCTTTTTGGAAATTTAAAATGTAGCCTTGTTCCAAACACACAAATTGGTAAGCGTAGAACAGTTGAAACTTAATGTACTGGCTCTGGAGGTCGGATGGTTTGCCCATTTGAGTAGATTTTGATACTGTTTTTTGCCGGCAGTCATCATGTTTAAGTCCTTTTTGTGACAAACAAGAACTTTTTACAAACCTAAACTACTTTTCAATTCATCTACTGTATGTGTCTTTCAAAAAAAAAGTGTCATGCTCCCTACCTGCAGGGGGCTTGATCAGTGGCGGGGGGATCATGGGGACTATGATGGGCAGGTTGCCATGTTCCTTGCTACTGGGCGTGGAGGTGGACGGTGTGGTGGAGGGCTCTGTGACTCCGTTCCTGGACGCTGGCAAAGACTGGGAGCTGTTGGCTCGATCCGGAGAGCCTTCGCCACTCTCTGTTGAAGGTGGGATTTTTGGCAACAAGTTCTCTAGACAGAGGAAATTGAGCAAAATAAAACGTTTCTGAACAACTGATGAGATGCTGCAGCACTGCAAATCCTGCCATAATACAAGAGCCTAGCATGCCTAACATCTAACACAAAGGGTCCATTTCTAGCGTACTGGAGGCACAAGTGATGAGGTATGTCTGTTTTTTAAGGCAGGCTTGGAAAAGTTTACATTAAGAGCCATTATTTAGTGACTTATTTTGTGACTAAATAAGCAACAATGAAGGTTAAAGCTGAACTTATCAATATTCTAATGTTACAAGTAGATCAAATTAACAAATGCAATGTGAAAGAGGTCACCCGTAGAGACAAACCCACAGAGAATTATAATCAGCTCAACAGAGCATATTAGCTTCTTTTAGCTCATTGTTTTGGTTTTTCAGCCCACAACTTCACTATTTTGGTTCAGTCTCACCATTCTTGTTAGGAAAAAGCACTAAATGGCAGACAGACAAAGTTAGCAACTAGCTGGTGAACGTAGTTGAGCATTAAGCTAAAGAGTCATATATTTTACTCAGGAGCTGGTGGAGAGCAAAACAGAGCTAAAAGGAGAGCGAATATCAGACTAAGATTTGTCAGTTGGTCACAAACGAATGCTTATGTCTCTCTGTATCTCCTGGATGAGCATATGTTGGCAACTGTTCACTAACAAGCTCAATATATCCACTTTATGAGGTGATAGTATGTTAGTATGTTTGCAGCTCTCAAGTTGCCAACAAGTCAACTTACACAGGTTTAAAGTTCAGAAAGCATTCTTAGTTAATATGTTTCATCAGGACTGTGTAGGTGTGGATGTGGCTTCACGTAAGTGTTACAGTGCAGTGCTTTTACATAATTACAAAGAGGTGTCACAGTCGTGTTCATATATACTGCATTAGCCATGTTTCATCATTCATTAATAAGCACTCTTTTCATCATCTTATTATGAGAATACTGACTGCCAGCTAGGCAAAAAATGCATGCACTTTTTGATTAAAAAAAAAATAATAATGGTGGACTGTAGGCCATGTTTGAGTTCTATACCTTTGAGGACAGAGATGTGCTGTGGCGTCTCCCCGATCTCCAGGTTGTCAGAGTCTCTCAGCTCCACCTTGTCATAGCCGTACCAGCCCAGCAGCTCGTTCATGGTGTTCTCTGCAAAACTCTGCAACACAAACAGGTGACTGGTGAGACTCAAGACAAAGATCTTCATACAGGAATTGAAAGTGGACCAGCTTTGATGTAGACAAAATATTACTTGAGTTGCTATTCTTGCAATACAAGCTGCTACAGTACTGATAGGCAGTGATGTAGTAAATAAAATAGTAGCAAATTAAATGTGAGTAACCTCTAAAATGTTGTATACTATCACATGAAATGTAAATGTTACCGAGCAAACATCTTAACATTTAGATAACAGGACGAAGATAAATGAGATTTGAGGTCACTTGTAAAAGGAAATGCGACAATCTGATACTTTGATGCATTTTCCTGAGCTTCTCCTGAGACCTTGACTTTAAGACTAGCTCTTTAGATTTGTCCACCGTACCACATTTCTTTTACTAATTAGGCATATTGTGATGCCACTCAAAATTTAAAGCTGTACACCGAGAAAACCACCATTAAGGTTTTTCTTCCAGGTCTTCTTCATAAGTACAGGTCAACCTAATTGGGGCCAACTCTGTACAAACGCTGCATTCTGTGCATCCAGAAGAAATAATGGCCCCTATCACAGCACAATAAAAGAGGAGGATGTTATCAGAGTTTAATGAAGACTCTGATAAGAACCATATCACAGCACACTAACCAGCATTGAGAGCTTATTACAATACAGTAAAATAGAATACCACAGCACAGTAAACATAGTAACAGCAGAGATATCTGATTGGCTAAAAATGGCACGGGGGTTAAATGGACCAGGGGGACCACTGATTTATGGAGCCCAAAGCTGAGGAATTCAACAATATCATGCCTGAGAATATCATTCTCAGTGGGCCTTAACCCCCAACAGAAGCCAACTTCAAGGATAATATGTGAAAACCCTTAACATACAGTACAGTTCTCCCAGTTTGTTTCCACTTATGTAGCTTTAAGGGTTTTGCAGCATGGGTTTGTAACGACTGACCTACTGGACTGCTGTTTACTGAATAACCCCGAGCCTGACCAATATATATATATATATATTGGCCTAATGCAAACATATCAATGTTGAATCAGTATCAGTGTATATGTCAATATTGTCGATTTCTCAGTGTTCAATTCAAGAATTGTTGCAAAAAACATGTTATAGAATATTTAACTTAAATATTCTTTAAGTTAAATATTAAGTTATATGACGGTATTAAGTTATTTGTTTAACAAAGCAGCCTTCTGCGTACTGTGCATAGTCATATTGGTGCAAAATTGGTCTATTTATTCCAGCCCAAAAATTCACTATATTGGCCATACTGAGAAATGTTTCCCTCTGAAATTGGTATCGGTCTTAAAAGAGGCTCAATAAGAAACAGTGCAGAATTTAGGGAAATACACTTATTTGCATTCTGGCAGAGAGTTAAACGACTGATACCACTCATTGTTCAATACCACTCTCTTTAGCATAGCTTAGCATAAAGACAGAAAGCAGCGGGAAACAGCTTGCCTGGCTCTAAAAATAAAATTGTTATATCTCGTCTGTTGATACTGTACAAAAACCAAAGTGTAAAAACGACAAGCAGCAATTTTTGTTTATGCTAAGCTAAGCTTGCTAAGGCATCAATGTTCTCAACGGACTCTCAGCAAGAAAGCAAATACGCGTACTTTCCAAAATAATGAGTTATGTTTTTTTTTAAACATTTCACTTGTTACATTTTAGAGTAAACACATGGATACAGTACAAGACTAATAAAATGAGTGTATTTCAGTAAACTAATCCATTATGGTGAACAACCAATCGCAACACGGTAAAAACATTAATCAAAGAGTCAAATAGTAATACAGCTGTCACTGAGCAGTTAGTAACAGTATATAAACAGTATATGTCATGTCTTGCCACCCAAGTTGCTCTGAGCAAGGCACTAAAGTCCAAACATTCTGCAGAAGCACAGAGTGCTATGCAGAAAGTTAGTGCAGTTATGCAAAATAAATAAAACTCTATGCAGGTGAGACATTAAAGTATTTCCTCCATATTACAGCCTCTCACAACACAGTCAATAAAACCTGTACTCAAAACAAAACCATAACCCTGCTAATGCACACAGCCCATTATCACTATACACCTCTCAGCTGGAATATTCCCAGAAGCGTCTATTCACTGAACCCTAAACTATGGTAAATGGTTCAGCTATCATTTGACTCTAAAACATAGATGGAAATGCTCTTTATAGAAACAAACTACAGCAGTGGCTGAGGATGAATCAGCTGTAATTATTCGGTCCGTGTGATAAAATATTAGTCACAGGTCACTAAACTATCAGCTTACGGGGGAACACTGGTCCTCTGTTTTCTATTGCTGCTGAATACATTTTGGATCATAATAAACACATCTAATTCAGCCCTAGGTATGGAACCTGTATGTGCCTGTAAGTATGGAACCTGCCGTAGTGCTTGTTAATTAGCGCACAACAAGATCAGCTGGTAAAATCATATTACAGGCCCGCAGGGACAAACACCTGTACAGTACGTTGCCACAGAGATGACCCGCCTCGTCTTGCCATTGGTGGACGTGCTCCAGATCAAATTGACAAGACACGAGTCAGTTAATTATTTTATAGCCGGTCCCAGTTTACTCTGTGTGTTATCTCATCATGGCAGCAGTCGTCACTCAGCAGTCACTACATCAAGCAGTTAAATGTCAATTACAAACGGCTCCTGTCGATATGTCAGAGCCGCAGTGATCACGTCGGAGTGGTTCAGTGCCACCCAGCACATCTGACTCTTGACTCTGAGCTGATCTAAATTTAACAGCAAAATATGGACACACACATCCGCAAAGAGTGTGTGCATCTGAATTTCAAACCATTGCTACGTACTGTAGGAAAAAAGTAGAGAAAGCAAATTGAGATTGTGGCCTAACCTGAACTATGTCCTCTCCTCTTTCAAATGTTTCCTTCTTGCCTCCACTGTAGATTTTTAGTATGTTAGGATAACTGTTGCCTGTTTACACGTGATAACACAGAACTTCCCAGAAAAAAAGTTAAATATAATTGCCATGTCAGAGGGATGTCAGGTTTGGCAGTAAGGGAGGACTACCATAGACCTAGCATCCATATTAACTTTAAAGGCGCACTGGGCAACTTTACATGTTGCTTGGTGTGAAGTGACTTCAGCAGGTTCATGTCTATCAACCAGGCCAGTCTATGATGTTTTATAGTGAAGTGACGAGAGAGAAGAAAGAGTTCTTGGGAACTTGGGTGGCTGGAGATTGTTCACTCACTGCTGGAGACAGGTCTGAAGTATTGATTTGTGATTTCCTGTGGGTGGAAGAGTGACTGTATCTGAAACCAGGATTTAATTTGGTCAAACTACATGGTCTCAGTCGAGATGGGTGTTCTGAAGTATTTCCACAAATACCTTATGCAACTCTGAAAAAAGAAAAGAAAGAAATGCCTTGAAAGGCTTGTTGTACACGCTGACACAGCACGAAGCCTGAGCAAGTCCACAGCCTGCAGACAACAGGTTGGTCCACTGACTCAATTACTTGATACAAATTCAATTAACAGAGCACCAACACAAAGCGCAGTTTGGATATTGCTTACAGTGGTATTATAGTAAAGGAGACACAAGTGGGACTGAGCCCACACACACACACACACACACACGCACACTTGTTTAGACTGAGGCTGAAGTATCTCTTTGCATATTTGAGACACTGTGGCACAGTATAGACGTGACAGAGGCAGATTTTCTCCTGGTCTGTCAGCATATTCACTCTGTTTCTAAGCATTTTAGAGAGAAATTCATGATGTGTTGTATTTGTATCTCGGAGTAGTAGCGCTTCTCCAGGATCAGTTTTGCATCAGTTTTGCTTTGTTCTTACAGAGCAGATAGTTTCTGCTATTCTACGCAGAAGTGAATTTGCCACTCTTAGTGGAAGGACTTGGTCTAAATGCTGGTAAGGAATTATTGATGAAGAATGACAGGAGTTATTGATCTGCCTGTTATGAAATACCACTGTGGCGGCGTGGTCAATGGGTAGAGGTGGCACAAAGGTGCAGGGCACGGTTCAAGTCAATGACAGGTGAAGTCAAAGCACCATGTTGTGGTGAATGTCTGTATCTGCAGGAACGTTTCAGCATGCAAAGACTGTGTGTGAGAACATCTGGAACTCTCTGGACATCAAGGTTGGACAGTGTCAGCATTCAACAGTGAAAGGATTTGGAGCGATATTGTAATTAAAGTCTAATCCAAACACTTATAATCTCAGTTTTTTTGTCACTGAGGTTTTTAAAAGGGTGGTGAAAGCAGTGAAGGCTGTTAATGAGGACAGCTCGTGTTTGCAGATGTGACAGCAGTGCTCTCTCTGCCTGAAGGTCCCTGGAAGTTAGATTTAGTACCACTTCCTGAGCAGAGCTAAAGTTAGGTTCTGACAGCTATACACACAAACCATGTTTGCGCCCAGGGTGACACCCAGTGAACACGTTTTCATGGCATTTTGCACCACCTTAAGTTTCCACAGAAATGGCCAATAAATGTCTATGTTTGCAGTAAACGTTGGGGGCGTTACATGCACACATGCTTGCAGGTCAGATAAATAGTCCACAGGTGTGAATGAAAGTGACCCAAGCATTCTGGGAAAAGTTCATGTCCCAAACGATTCTTAAAATGATTGAAATTAATCAGGTAAAAAAGATGTCGGATCTCTAAGCTGAGAAATGGAAAATTCTCCAGAAGTTTTACAAATACTGTCACTCTATGTCAACAACAATTATTAACAAAATTAAAAAGTGAAAGACTCAAAGTGCAAACACGGGCAAACACAACTTGAGCAATTAGCCCAACTGCAAGGAGAGAACCTCAAGAATAAAAAATCTTCAAGGAGAAATCCTGCTTTTGAACAAACGAGTTGGAGCATAACCCAACCTGAATGTACTCCTGAGTAAAAACGGATGTAGCTGTAAAATAACCACATCACAGAGACAAAAACACAACATCTCTCTGTGTCTCTCTTTCCTTCCTACCATCCTGTCC